TCCCAAAAATGGCTCCACAGCATGTAAAAAAATAATATAAGCTCTGGTGGACTTGGTTCTATGGTAGGTCTTAAAGGGTTAAAAAAAGCTGACATGGAAGCAGCCAAAATACTAATGTTAAGGCACTGAAATGAAGAGCACAAAAGGAAAAGCATTCTGACACTGGCTTATAGACAAAAACACTGATTCGTTTGCAAGCAATACTGTGCTACATTTGTGCACCCAGTAACTCATCCACATTACTCAAAGAAAGTGTTTTATTTCCTCTTTTTCCATGCAGTGTGCATCGCCAGTATGAGCAGCACGTGGCACACGAATAACCAAAATTGTAGGTTCACTAACCACTGGAGTTTCTCATCCTGCTGGCAGAAGTTGCTGGGATTTTTCAGAAAAATATATTTGATGTGTTTTCATTCCAAGATTTCACATCATTTTAGGAACTTTTGTTATAATAGTTAAGCTTCTGTTGAGTTCAGACGTGCGGCACTGCTGCCTCTGCAGCTCAAAGCAAAGAATGCTTCATATCAATGTCAGCATTTGTATGAATTCAGCATTTGATCAGCTTGTTTTCATGTATCATGATGCTAAAAATAAAGTATGTAAGCTCATTTTTTAAATAAGTAAGTATTCTATATGCTATATATTCATTTTTTCTACTCTAGTGATGGTGGCCTTAAAGTAAGAGGAGTAAAGCAGCTTGTTGGCAGAGGATGAACTGACGGGCTGCACCGAGACCCATTAAAACCTGAATCATACAAAGATTCTTCAGTAAAGTCAGAGAGTAAAAATATGATGCTGGAAATGAGTATAATAAATTCATTTAAAAAAATTACATTATAGAGTAGTAAAGCAATTTTACCAATCCATTTTTACATCTTCATTTTAATTAAAGTTAAAACTTTCTTCCACATTGATTTGATTTGTGTCTCAGGTATTGTATAATCATGTTGTCTTATAATTTCTGTACATCTAAATGACCCCAACTTAAATATACGTTTAAGTATTTGGTGCTGTTTTAAATGCCATCACAATTTGAATTGCAAAAACAAAACAACTTAACAGGTAAACTCATAATCTCATCATTATCTAATGTTCTGCTTAAAAACA